GCACACACACAGGTACACACAGTAACACAGAGAGCACACACACAGGTACACACAGTAACACAGAAAGCACACAGACAGGTACACACAGTAACACAGAAAGCACACACACAGGTACACACAGTAACACAGAAAGCACACACACAGGTACACACAGTAACACAGAAAGCACACAGACAGGTACACACAGCAACACAGAAAGCACACAGACAGGTACACACAGTAACACAGAAACACACAGACAGGTACACACAGTAACACAGAAAGCACACAGACAGGTACACACAGTAACACAGAAAGCACACACACAGGTACACACAGTAACACAGAAAGCACACACACAGGTACACACAGTAACACAGAAAGCACACACACAGGTACACACAGTAACACAGAAAGCACACACACAGGTACACACAGTAACACAGAAAGCACACACACAGGTACACACAGCATCACACATACAGACACTCAGGTCACACAAAGCAGACAGTGAGGTAAATACATTTGTTGAAACTCATCACAGGAAGTGACAGTCCAATTCTTTACATCTGTTCAGATAAACACAACCAGAGTCCTTTAGAAACGATGGAATTAAGATAAGATAAGACTTAAATTGTTATGCCAGAGTTACAAAAATACAATAAACAAAGCAGCATAATAGTAAAACTGTACACTAACAGTGCAGTAAAAAGAGCAATTAAATATCTACAGAGACGGTCACATAATTAATGTAAATATTAACAGTAAGCCATGGTATCTTTCCAACTTTACCAAACCTCCATTCTTACAAAAAAGCGGTTACCTCGATCTGGACATACCGGCTATAACTTGATCATCATTTCTGAACTACAGCCCATCATTCGGATGTGGCTGAGAGGAAGAGCTGTTGTCTTTGAGTCAGAAGAAGCCAAGTTATCATGTTGATTTAACCTAGTGTGTATTGTGCTGCTTGTTAAATGTGTGTGTTATCTCACTGCTACAGTGGAGAAGAGCTTCAAAATCAAAAATCTCAAACCTGTTAGAAATCCCATCCATTACACTCCTGTTACTGAGCTTTAGGTAGAAGCAAAACCTTTAATAGCAACACCATTTTTGACGTTAATAAACATTTATATGTGAACATGAATATGCTGGAAATTCCCGGTGCTGTAAGCTTTTAAAAATATGTATTGAAGAGAGAAGTGTTTCTCCTTGCACTGTGTACAACTTGACACAAAGCTTCCTTGCGTTTATTTATTCCTGTATTTATTTCTGGGTTTTTTCACATATATTTATTCTTGTATTCCTGTATTTATTCCTGATTCTTTTCCTGTATTTATGCGTGTATTTATTTTATACTTATGCCATGTTCTGTCCTCTATACCTGGCTGCTTCTTGTGTGCATAAAAGTACAAATTCACTCAAAATCACAACAAGACCTGTAGTTGGGTGTTAATTGTTTTAAAAACACACTGCAGGTCCAGAGGTTTATGCTTTTGGGTTTTCATGCAGGTGTTCGAGGTTCAACACCCAGGAGAGGGACATCATTTGTCTTCTGCTGTGCTGATGTTAAATCTGGAGAAATTGTCCCCACCACTTTTTCTAATAAAGTGACGCCCATGATTCAAGATTAGATTCAAGATTCATAGGTTTTTTTGTCATATGGACATAAGCTACAGTGTAGAAATGGCAATGAAATTCTTCTGACCTGAGCTCCTCCAACAATGCAACATATAGAATGAAATAAAGAAAATACAAAATAAAATAAGAAGTAGTGCAAAAAGTGTATATACACATGTCAATAGATTGTGGAGAAAGCACGTTTTTAAGAATGTCTGGTCTGGTGGAAAGACTTTATAAAGACTTTATAAAAGTGTGAGAAACAGTAAAATCCAGAGGGAGGCAGTGATGCAACACTGTGGATGCAAACAGCCGTAAAACACCAAAGAAGAAGAAGTGCTTTTATTTTGAAAGGAGTCTGTGTTCCCAGAGTGCATTGCGCTTACTCGCAAACATGTAAGGGATAATGTGCAGCGAGGCGGTCATTATGGGTAAAAGAACACCCGACAGGCAGATCAGGAGCCCGACGAGAAGCGGAGCGATCTTGATCAGCATGAATGACCAAGTCGATAATGCAGTGGCGGTTCTAGACCAATTTGACTGGGGGGGGCCAGGCTGGGGCCAGTTATCTTCTGAGGGGGGGCAGAATAAATGCAGGACGAAAAAGACAAAGACAGTATTTGCGCATAAGAAAACAATGCAATACAGTTATTGGTATTTGTTTCATTACACATATTTATTTCAGATACTTATAGTTACAGTTTTCACGCTCTCATGCAGGGGTCTCCAACTTTTTTAGGATGAGAGCTACATTCAAAAAATAAAACAAGTCGTGAGCTACTTTTACTATTCTTTTTTATTTATTTTTTGCAGTGTATATATTTAGCACATTTGAACATTATTATCTGCTGACCTTTAACCTTTGTGTGCTGTTTGGGTCTGTGGGACCCGTTTTCAGTGTTTACTAAAAGAAAATGTTTTCGATTTAATAATTTTAACCTGTTTCCCAGCGTGCATTGCGCTTACTCGCAAACATGTAAAAGCTGTTACACACCAAGCCGATTTTCGGTGTCGATAGATGTCGATAGATGTTGGCCCGTCGATGAGCGTTGTGTCGTCCTACTCAGATTGGTGTGTACTGCACCGTCGTGTCTTTTCGTGTCTATCTATCTATTTATCTATCTATCTATCTATCTATCTATCTATCTATCTATCTATCTATCTATCTATCTATCTATCTATCTATCTATCTATCGATCTATCAATCTATCTATCTATATCTATCTATCTATCGATCTATCAATCTATCTATCTATATCTATCTATCTATTTATATATTAATAGAGTATAAAACTACACCACTGCAATGATGATGAATACAGTGTGGGAAAAATGATTGGGTTATTTTGTTACATTTTACATCCACTAATAATCAATATGTTTAATCTCTTTCATTTTAATAAACATTTATATTTACCATATTTTTCAATGCACCTTTTTCTTCTGCTCTATATTTCTGTGTTTGACTCTTGCAGTATTTTGCCTGTATGTGTATTTCGTCATAATAAGTAATATGTTCATTGTATGCTTCAACACCTTCCAATTAAATAGCCTACTTGGTTATATTCTGATTCTGATTGTGTATTTTCTTTATTTCTCCTCCCAGGTAACGTGATGTCGTTCCCGGAGCCCAGACCTCAGGCTCCTCAGCTTCCTCAACACCTTCTGAGGAGCATCGACTGCCAAGAATTACACCAAACAAATACTGTATGTTTTGTGAAGTCAGTAGAATATGATTTGCAGGTAGGGATATCTCTGCAGCTCCACCATTCCTTGTTCAAATGTTGTATTTATTAACTCAAACCAATACAGAACAGAAAGAGAAAAAAGTAAACACATGAAGTATAGAACAAAAGAGAAGGGTCAGAATAACAGGTGCAAACAACAAAGCAAAACAGATAATTGCAATGAGTTGTGATGGTTATAAACTTAAAGAGTAACAAAGACATTTACAAATTCAATTGGTGATAATGGAACTTTTACATAACAAATATGGATGAATAAGAATGTGTGAACATTAAGGCCATACACACACCAAAGAGACATTTACTTCACAGGCTCTTGGTAATGGTTTTCCATCAGTGAAATACGGCTCTTTACTGAAACCTAGTGGCAGCAGAATGAAACTGCAACTACATCAGCAAACACATGTTCCTCTCCAATATCCCAATGTGCTTTTCAAAAACATGTATTTTGGAATTTGGAATCCAACAAGTAGTTGTTGATATTTCAGTCTACACAAGAAGAAGAACATTGTAAAGAAATATAATTTGAATAAAGTAGATAAATGTACAAAACAATGGAAATGGGTTTGTTATCAGTAAATTATAACTCTTTAGTAATATCTACATTTTCCAACAAGCCAGCAGTTAGGGATCAGATCCCTTGTTGCAACATCTCTACATTTTATAATTTTTTTGCGGCAAAAATCATGTTACACAAGAAATATTTACAATTCAGTACATGAAGCTGTGCAATACTTAACAAAATCTTTACATTTGAGCCATTCAGATTAATAAAAACTAGGCTGAAAACTCATCGCCTCATTCATGGAGAAGTCCACCCTGAGACATGTATTTAAAAAATCCACATTACCCTGTGTAAATAGAAATGTGATTGTAAAAAAACAGAAGTATCATCCTTCAAATGCAACGCCTGCTGTGTTTATCTGGATTTGTTGACCGTGCTGTACAATGCAGCTGGATCCTCTTCAGAGTCCTGACCTCTGGTCCTGAGAGATAAATGATGTATTTCTTAGTGGTAATAATAATGCAAAAGGAATTAAATGATATGTGAATAATGTTCCTGTGTGAGGATCTGCTCACTTCGGGGCAGCACTGCTGAACTTGACGGCAGCGTACTCCGGGACTTCCTGTTGCTCCGTGTGTCTGAGGGGCCGAGCTGCTCTCATGTTGGAGTAAAGAGGGTCTGCCGGGTTGTTGTTGAAGTGAACGCTGGCATACTGAGGGTCATCCTGCTGCTCCAGCTGATCAGGTACACACTGCAGGGAGGAAAACACTTTCAGCTACACATTTTTACATTAATAGATATTCAATTTACAGAGGAATGGACCCAGGACAGAAAAGGCCAAAGCAACAGCAGCTGTGGTTATGATGGAAAAATATCCCTGCTTTATCAACTTGATGCTTTATGACAGAAAGATTAAAGGATAAAAGATAGGAAAACTTCTGGATGTACTTGAAATGTATTCATGTCTAAGAAGAGAATCAAAGAGATTGTGATAGAAATTAACTTTTTATAGAAGGATGTAAAAAGAGCAGCAAGAGGTCCTTCTATGTCAGATCAATTTTCTATAAGCACTTAAAGACCACCATCATTATAAATTGAGTGTAATATATTTTATTTTGTACTAGATTAATTATGTAAGCATCTATTCTCACCTCTTCCCTATTGTCCGCTCTCTCTTCAGGCTCAGACGAGTCTCTAGAAGCCCTCTTTCTTCTGGTTAGGAGAGTTTATGAAGAAAAAGAAGATCAAATGTTGACACCAGACAAACAGACTTTTAATGATTTAACAAACAATGATTAAGATGATCAGATCTGCTCACCTGATCCACAGGAAGACAGAGAGAGAAATGACAGCCAGGAGAACAACAGGGATTGTTACAAAAGGTAGTAGCTTCCATGATCCTCCTGAGAAAATGTGATCAACAGTCAGAGAACAGATGCAGCTGTGTTTCTCAAATATGGATACAAGGACCCCTAGGGGCACTTTGGAGTATTACAGGGGGGGTGTAATATAATAGATAATAATAGAATAGAATTGGAGGGATGAAACCCTCTGTAATGGTCACACTTGCAGAGCACACAGCACACACAGTGACATCTGTTCTCTGCTTTTAACCCATCCTAGTACTAGGAGCAGTGTAAGACTATATTTTCAGACTTCCTATTCCTAAAAAAAACTAAAACTAAAAAACTATAATTTATTGTAAAAGTAATGTTAATAAAAAAACACTTGTCCAATGTTCAAGAAGCTGAAACAAATGCAAATACATTCATGATATTGTTAGTTTTGTGATGAACGGGTGATTATACTCCATTCATTATTTCCTTCTCAATACCGATGGAATATCTCTCAGCCTGTGGGCACTTGCACTTGGCATAAGCTTCACAAAACAGACACAACTCTCACTCTTGAGTGCACAGGGAATGACTGCACCCCATACTGAATCTGGACCCTCAGGATAATTATTCCCTTATGTAAAAGAAAGAAAACAACCCCTATCCCGAACCGGAAAAGTACATTTGAACACACACTCCTTTTTCAGCCTCCTACCAAGACAATGTGACTGAAAACAAACAAGCTGATAAGTGTGTGGTTGTAGATGAATGCATAAAACGTACCTGCCACAACACTCAGATGAAAGGTGGAGTTACTACGTCCTAACTTGTTCTGGGCTCCACAGTAATAACTCCCACTGTGTTCAGCTTTTAAATCAGTGATGTTGAAGATCTGTCCTGAAGCTTTTGGAGAGTCTTCATCCTCCTTGTACCAGGTGTAGTTAGCTGCTGGGTTAGCATCACTGCTACAGGTCAGAGTCACTGAACTGCCCTCCTCTATCTCAGCAGAGGGACTCACTGACACAGAGGGGAGCTTTGGAGCATCTGGAGGAGATACAATAAATCAACAAAAGATTACAAATACATCATGTTGAATTGAGTATTGAAATGAGACGTAGTTATTTGTGTGGGTGCATCTGAAATATGGAAGTGTTTTTTGACTGCATAGCTGAAGAAAACAATTATGTTGTGTATATACAGTATTTCGTTTTCTGTATTACTGCTGGCTTGAATACCCTGAACATACGAGCAGATTTGGGAGCCAATTGTAGATAAAACTTCATTTTCATCATCTACTGTAGCTGCTCTCCATCTCATTGACCTACTGCAGCAGACTGTGAACAAAGTTGTCATTGGGTGCATGATGCTTTTTAAATCATCTGGGTTTTACTCACATTTCACATCAATAGAGATGGATTCAGATCTTGTACTCCACAGCTCGTTCTCAGCTCTGCAGTAATACTTTCCAGAGTCAGAGGACTGGATGGAGCTGAGGAGGAGACGTGGTCCTTCATTGACATAAGAAAGGTGTGCACTTCCATTCCTCTTGTACCAGGTGTATTTAGCTGCTGGGTTAGCATCACTGCTACAGGTCAGAGTCACTGAACTGCCCTCCTCTATCTCAGCAGAGGGACTCACTGACACAGAGGGAGGCTTTGGAGCATCTGGAGGAGAAGTGTTTAAAGTTATTAACATTAAAGGGTAGATATAATGGCAACTTGCAAATGTCCAGAGACACAAAGCAGAAAACGTTTTTCACAAACACAAACCAAAACATTGTAAAGCTTGGAGCATCTGGAGGAGATAACATGAACACATTTCACATTTAATTCCACGGTGGAAGATATTTTAATGAATAATAGTTTAATAAAACACAGAGTGGGTGGTTAACTTGATTCCATCCTTTATCAGAAATCTAAACACTTTGAGGGAAAGTATTAATCTTTATGTCATGGAAGAAGTTTCCTTCATAGTTCTCCTTTATTCTTCTTTCTAGTAGCATCCCTCGTAGCAAGATTATATTTATCCTATTTTAAAATCAAACAGAAAACCTAGAGCCCTGGTTCAGTGTCTTTGGACACGGCCATGTCTGCTGGCGACCTCTGGTGGGTAAATATATACATGAGTGCAATGATGATATATGTTATACTGTATGTTAATGTTATTATGTTAGTGGAAGACTTTGAGTAAACTCACACACTGAAGGAGAGGGGAAGTCCTCATATCCCTTCAGAGCACAGGAATAACTGTCTGCTGAGTCATAACTGAAGTCTGCATAAGGAGATGTGTCTTCCTTCACTTCCTGTCTGTTCTTAGACCAGATGTAGGAAGTTTGACCAGGTGGACAACTGCTGAGACACTGAAGGCGAGTAGACGATCCTGATCTGCTCACCTGCACCCGGAGATCTGAATAAAGGTACAAACATTAAAAAAAGAGATAATAGTGTTCATGTATCAAAATAAAAATAAAATGTTAAATGTTTTAAGAGTACAATTTCAGATACCTGTGACGGACAAAGTGACTGGATCAGCCCAGTATGTAGCTTGGTTTGTTTTGAACCAGAACCAGTACTCAGCTGAGTCGCTCTCTCTCAGGTTTCTGATTCTCAGAGTGCAGGTGTTGTTTCCACAGAGATCCTCTACACGACCTGCATACTCTGAGACTGTTTTCAGATCTACACGTTCACCATCTTTCTGTTTAGTGAACCAGAATGTTTTCTCTAATGTGTTAACACCACCATTCCATGTAGATGGGTATGTGAAGCTGCATCTTATCTCCACTGTTGATCCTTTCACTGCACAGATCTCAGTAGAAGAGTAAGTCACTCCCCAGTAATCCTGACCCTGAACCACTGAAACACAGAGCACATCAGAAACTATAATCAAAGTTTATCTATAAATCGTTGAGAAATTGCCTGATCAGTACTTTCAACAAAGAATGTAAAAATAAACATTTGACAAACGTTACTGGGATAGAGCAGAAAAACACATGTGAATTCCTTCTTAGGCACTTTAAAACCAATGATACTCTTTGACTTTGTCGTTTCTTAATCAAACCAGGTAGAACAGAAGTCTACGCAAAAAGGGTACGGTCAGTTTGACACAAGATTGGAAAATGCCTTCATATAAATGAACAGTGAATGATTAGCGATCATATTAATTAGAATAGTGTGAGATTGTCTGAACAGTTCCCTCTCTGTTCGCTCTGTGTTCAGGTTGCTGCTGAGGTAAGAGTGACAAATAAAAATAATTGCAGAACACTGAGGTGTGAGCAGCTTCCGTCTGATATACAGATAAGAAAAAGAAGAAGACTGCTTTTAACTCAGAGTGTGAATATAACACTGAGGTCAGAGAGGAGAGAAGGAACTAGAAGGGTTTGGTGCAGAGGGGCGACATAAGTGTTGAGTCAATATGTTATGACTTAGAATAAGAATATCTCTCTAAATCACTTAAACTTAATAAAAACAGAGCTGGAGATTCTTTAAGTCGTCTTAAGAAAAAACAAAGCTAAATGTTTTCACAGAGAGAGGATGGAACAGTTATGCATACACTATATTCTCATTTTAACGCTTGTTAAGGTGATAAGCAAACTGATATTGTATGCAGATGATTGGAGCAAAGGACAGTGGCAACGCACGACAAGATCTTCAGAATATCCATCAAAAAAACTAGTAACGTCTTTGAGTTTCTACAATTCTACACACAATTACATTTAAAATGTTTCTGCTAGGTTTGCCTTTTACACAAATCCATCCCACTTATTCCCACATGTGACCTTATTTTACAAGTCCCACATTTCCCCAGAATCCCCTCTGTTCATGTGATGAATGTAAGTGTAGATGTACAGTACCTGACACAGAGAGCAGGAAGACAACTAATCCACTCGCTGCTGCAGTTAAACTCATAGCTGCTCCTCTCATCTCTGTGAGACTATAAAACATGTCAGATTAAATAATGTTCACAGGAGGTATACAGAATCATTACATCAATAAACAGTTTCTACTCACAGTGAAAGAGGAACGATGTGTTTATAGATGCCTTTCCTCTGTAGCAATGAGCAGAAGACGGATATCAGGCTGTTAAGAGACTAGATTAACTTCCTCTTTAGATTATTAATATGCATAATGAACCAAACACCAGTAACACCCGTCACACAGTTATGTTTTGAAAATGAACTTTTCTTAAACAAAATAAACTATGGCTTTAACTTGTTTGGCTGCCGATATACCACTGACACCAGAAAAGAAAATTCAGATTTAGAGAATAACAGTTCATCTCTCTGAGCACTGAGGACATCACACAGTCTGCAGGTGCAGTGAAGGAACAGGAAGGCATTAACATGTGAAACCATAAGGCAGTTTTTTACTGAACAACATGAAGAGCACAGTATTCATTATCAGAGAGAATGGAAAATGCCATATTATTTCTCTTGGTTTGTTTCTTCTCTGCTCTCTCTGCGGTCAGGTTGCTTCTGTTTCAGAGAAATGCAGAACTCTGAGACGTGAGAAACTCACATGCCTGTTAGTGGCAACCCAACATGAACACACACATCACACTCATAATCAAGTGGACTGGAAGGAATCAGACACACAATGGTCCGGTAATTATTGTTGGAGCTATTGATTGATTTAACATGTTGATGTTGATCTATGTCATGGAAGAAGTTTCCTTCATAACTCTCCTTTATTCTTCTTTCTAGTAGCATCCCTCGTAGCAAGAGTATATTTATCCTATTTTAAAATCAAACAGAAAACCTAGAGCCCTGGTTCAGTCCCTTTGGACACTGCCATCTCTGCTGGCGACCTCTGGTGGGTAAATAAATAAATGAGTGCAATGATGATATTTACATTTGCTTTCATTTGGTTTCATTTGTTTATTCATTTGTGTTTACATTAATTAAGATTTGGTGTATTTTATTGTTTTTCCTTTGTTTATCTTTCTGCACCAAACGTGGCAGAACCCTAACCTTTTGTCTTGTGCCGGACAGGTGCTGTGGGCCTGAGGCGGCAGACTCCCTGGTGGGAGCAGTGGTGTTCTTCACGTGTCCGTTGTGTGTGGTTTGCAGTGTCACGGGTGATTTAGTTTAGACCCCTTGCTCCCCTTTTTGTTAACTGCCGCTGTGGTAAGTCCCAGCCCTGTCCTTTTCCCCAAAGTGTGGATTTTATTGAAATGTATTGTGTCTGGTGTTTTTAGATATTCTGTATTTTATAAATAAAGTAGCCTTTGATATTAACCCTTAAACTGTCTCTGGGTGAAACTCCCCCAGGTGGCGTTGTCAGCAACCGACCTCTTACACCTAGCCGCACCACCCCGCCACAACGCAGAGAAAACCGACACAGTTTCACACAGTAACACAGAAAGCACACAGACAGGTACACACAGTAACACAGAAAGCACACAGACAGGTACACACAGTAACACAGAAAGCACACAGACAGGTACACACAGTAACACAGAAAGCACACAGACAGGTACACACATTAACACAGAAAGCACACAGACAGGTACACACGGTAACACAGAAAGCACACACACAGGTACACACAGCATCACACATACTGTACAGACACTCAGGTCACACAAAGCAGACAGTGAGGTAAATACATTTGTTGAAACTCATCACAGGAAGTGACAGTCCAATTATTTACATCTGTTCAGAAAAACACAACCAGAGTCCTTTAGAAACGATGGAATTAAGATAAGATAAGATAAGACTTAAATTGTTATGCTCAGGGCCGGCCCTAGACCTTTGGGGGCCCTACGCGACCTTTGACTTGGGGGCCCCCCTCACTCTAGTGCATTCTCACTACACACAACACGGAACCAACTTTGGTCTTATGATGTTAGCATAAGCACACATATTGTATAAATAAGCATGTAAACACCGTGGACCTATCATCCTCTAGGGGGGTACTCACCTCCTCTAGGGGGTCCGGGGGCATGCTCGCCCGGGAAGATTTTTTTTTAAATATTGAAGTTACAAGCATCAATCTGGTGCACTTTGAGAGCAAAATTAAGAGATCTATGGATATATCTCTCAACACCCATATGAAACAGAACTGTAAGCAGATTTTCTTTATGGATATTTTACAAATCACTCCCCTTTTAAACTGTATTCTTGTTTTGTCATATAGTATTTCATAACTGTTTTTCATTTATTCTCTCTGGCTGTCCATCTCATAATGTTCACATAGAAACTAGCTGTCAATAGGAATATCATTCAGAAGAATTATAATTTCATGCAAAAATCTGTCACAAAAAGAGGTTGCACATTTAAATTCAGGTGTTGTTCTGGCAACGTCAGTGGTCAAACAGCCACATTTACTGCTGCAAATACATTCAAACATGCTGTCGACACGTAAAGCAGTGGCAACTATGCCACCATTTCAGCTGACTTTTTCTCAGAAATACTGTCACATAGCATCCATATATTTCAGTGCTAGGTTGATGCTTAGCTAAGCTAACTATGAAACACTTTAACTGACAGGACTCAGGATCAACTGTGTACTGTAAGGTAGCTTCTAGCTTCATGTCGAACAGTAAGTCAACATTTCTCAGAGAGCTTTCTTTGAAATCACCAGGTAACACTAAAAAACATTACATTTAGATTGTATGACAAAGTGTTTATTTCATATATCTGGCTAGCTATAGCTACTTGCTAACGGTTTAGCTTACCCCCGCGATTCAAAGTAACGTCAACGTAGCTGTAATTTATGCTTTGCTTACATATTCGCATAACTTGGAAGTTTACTGACATTTACATACCTTGTTCTCCTGGCTCAAGTGCTGGCTCTGGGGTTGTTGTGTGAGCCACCACTTGAGAATTGTCGTCTTTTTTAAGAACAAATGTTCTTATGTCCATCTTCAAAAACTCTGAATCCGACTGACAGTTTATTTTAAACATTGTCACAGCTCACAGGATATGTACCTGTCAGCCATTAAGACAGATGTTTATTTCCATTCAACTCTCTGGTTGGTCTGGTGCCTTGCCTCTGTTGCATTCACTGAACACGGGAAATTACAATCCTGCCGTCCTCTCATGATGAGGTTCAGGTAAAGCACGGTTAATGTATTATATGATTGACTCAATAATATAATACATGACTTTGAGAGTAGGCAATCTAGGCATATTAACAAAATTAATTAAACATACTTATCACGGCGAGGGTGTACTTTTTTTTCTTCTTTTTTTTCATTTTTTGATAGGGGGCCCTAAGCGGCCGCTTATGTCGCTTAATGGGTCGGGCCGGCTCTGGTTATGCCAGAGTTACAAAAATACAATAAACACAGCAGCATAATAGTAAAACTGTACACTAACAGTGCAGTAAAAACAGCAATTGAATATCTACAGGAAACAGAGACGGTCACATAATTAATGTAAATATTAACAGTAAGCCATGGTATCTTTCCAACTTTACCAAACCTCCATTCTTACAGAAAAACGGTTACCTCGATCTGGACATACCGGCTATAACTTGATCATCATTTCTGAACTACAGCCCATCATTCGGATGTGGCTGAGAGGAAGAGCTGTTGTCTTTGAGTCAGAAGAAGCCAAGTTATCATGTTGATTTAACCTAGTGTGTATTGTGCTGCTTGTTAAATGTATGCGTTATCTCACTGCTACAGTGGAGAAGAGCTTCAAAATCAAAAATCTCAAACCTGTTAGAAATCCCATCCATTACACTCCTGTTACTGAGCTTTAGGTAGAAGCAAAACCTTTAATAGCAACACCATTTTTGACGCTAATAAACATTTATATCTGGATCTTGAGGGCTCTGAAGAGAAGTGTACTTCTTGCGCCAAATCCATCAATAAAAGTCAATCAAAGTGTATTTATTCAGCCCAATATGACAAATTGTAGTTTTGTCTCAGGGAGCTTTAAGGTTAATACAGAACATGAATATGCTGGAAATTCCCGGTGCTGTAAGCTTTTAAAATAAACCAAAGTTACACCCTTGACTATATATATATATAGTCAAGGGTGTAACTTTGGTTTGAGAAGTGGGGGGGTTTGTGTTAACAAATACAAGAAAAATGTGTAGTGTATATAATGAGTGTGCACACTTATCTAGTATCCTATCCATGTGAACCTTTTTTTTTTTTGGTGATGACCTCACATCCTCTAGGGGGGTCCGGGGGCATGCACCCCGGGAAGATTTTTTTTCTTTAAATTGAAGTTGAATGCATCAATCTGGTGAACTTTGAGGGCAACATTAAGAGATTTATGGATACAGTTCTCAACAATCAAATGAAACAGAACTGTATATATTTCAATAATCAAAAACCATTAGAATATGCTCACAACCAATAACAAATCATTGATCAACTCCTCTCTCCTATCTTTATCTTACCTGGTCTGCATTCTTTCTTTTTATTTATGCATATTTGACTAATCACTCCCCTTTCAAACTGTGTTTTTATTTTGTACTGACCTATAGTACACATTGGAAGGATTTCTTAACTTTATTTTATATTATCAAACTAATATTACAATAGATGGCAATACTTTGTTTACATAGCATGACCCAAACCGTTTGAGAAGCCCACTGAAGATAACTAGACTAAGTTTACAAACCAATCCACTCAGGAGGTCCTTTATGACTCTCTCTCTTCTGCGCTGCTCTCTCTCTCTCTTCTCTCTCTCTCTCACTCTCATCTCTCTCTCTCTCTCTCGTCTCTCTCTCTCTTCTTCTCTCCTTCTACTCTCTCTCTTCTCTTTCTCTCTCTCTCTCTCTCTCTCTCTCTCTCTCTCTCTCTCAGGCTCCGAGCTAGCACCAAATGCTAACAACAACCCCCATAACTCTCTATGTCTCTCTCTCTCTCTTTCTATCTCTCTCTCACAAGATGCGCTCGTGCCACACACACACAGACGCTCCTCCGTGACGATGACCGCTTGCGTAAAAAAATAAACACATTTAAAAAGTGGGGGGGGGGGACACAAATGGGATTTTGAAAAGTGGGAGGGACATGTCCCCCCTGTCCCCAGTGGAAATTACGCCCATGTATATAGTATAAATAGAGTACAAAACTACACCACTGCAATGATGATGAATAAAGTGTGGGAAAAATGATTGGGTTATTTTGTTACATTTTACATCCACTAATAATCAATATGTTTAATCTATTTCATTTTAATAAACATTTATATTTACCATATTTTTCAATGCACCTTTTTCTTCTGCTCTATATTTCTGTGTTTGACTCTTGCAGTATTTTGCCTGTATGTGTATTTCGTCATAATAAGTAATATGTTCATTGTATGCTTCAACACCTTCCAATTAAATAGCCTACTTGGTTATATTCTGATTCTGATTGTGTATTTTCTTTATTTCTCCTTCCAGGTAACGTGATGTCGTTCCCGGAGCCCAGACCTCAGGCTCCTCAGCTTCCTCAACACCTTCTGAGGAGCATCGACTGCCAAGAATTACACCAAACAAATACTGTATGTTTTGTTAAGTCAGTAGAATATCATTTGCAGGTAGGGATATCTCTGCAGCTCCACCATTCCTTGTTCAAATGTTGTATTTATTAACTCAAACCAATACAGAACAGAAAGAGAAAAAAGTAAACACATGAAGTACAGAACAAAAGAGAAGGGTCAGAATAACAGGTGCAAACAACAAAGCAAAACAGATAATTGCAATGAGTTGTGATGGTTATAAACTTAAAGAGTAACAAAGACATTTACAAATTCAATTGGTGATAATGGAACTTTTACATAACAAATATGGATGAATAAGAATGTGTGAACATTAAGGCCATACACACACCAAAGAGACATTTACTTCACAGGCTCTTGGTAATGGTTTTCCATCAGTGAAATACGGCTCTTTACTGAAACCTAGTGGCAGCAGAATGAAACTGCAACTACATCAGCAAACGCATGTTCCTCTCTGATATCCCAATGTGCTTTTCAAAAACATGTATTTTGGAATTTGGAATCCAACAAGTAGTTGTTGATATTTCAGTCTACACAAGAAGAAGAACATTGTAAAGAAATATAATTTGAATAAAGTTGATAAATGTACTTACAAAACAATGGAAATGGGTTTGTTATCAGTAAATTATAACTCTTTAGTAATATCTACATTTTCCAACAAGCCAGCAGTTAGGGATCAGATCCCTTGTTGCAACATCTCTACATTTTATAATTTTTTTGCGGCAAAAATCATGTTACACAAGAAATATTTACAATTCAGTACATGAAGCTGTGCAATACTTAACAAAATCTTTACATTTGAGCCATTCAGATTAATAAAAACCAGGCTGAAAACTCATCGCCTCATTCTTGGAGAGGTCCACCCTGAGACATGTATTTAAAAAATCCACATTACCCTGTGTAAATAGAAATGTGATTGTAAAAAAACAGAAGTATCATCCTTCAAAAGCAACGCCTGCTGTGTTTATCTGGATTTGTTGACCGTGCTGTACAATGCAGCTGGATCCTCTTCAGAGTCCTGACCTCTGGTCCTGAGAGATAAATGATGTATTTCTTAGTGGTAATAATAATGCAAAAGGAATTAAATGATATGTGAACAATGTTCCTGTGTGAGGATCTGCTCACCTCGGGGCAGCACTGCTGAACTTGACGGCAGCGTACTCCGGGACTTCCTGTTGCTCCGTGTGTCTGAGGGGCTGAGCTGCTCTCATGTTGGAGTAAAGAGGATCTGCCCGGTTGTTAGAGAAGTGAACGCTGGCATACTGAAGGTCATCCTGCTGCTCCGGCTGATCAGGTACACACTGCAGGGAGGAAAACACTTTCAGCTACACATTTTTACATCAATAGATATTTCATTTACAGAGGAATGGACCCAGGACAGAAAAGGCCAAAGCAACAGCAGCTGTGGAAATGATGGAAAAATATCCCTGCTTTATCAACTTGATGCTTTATGACAGAAAGATTAAAGGATAAAAGATAGGAAAACTTCTGGATGTACTTGAAATGTACTCATGTCTAAGAGGAGAGTCAAAGAGATTGTGATAGAAATTAACTTTTTATAGAAGGATGTAAAAAGAGCAGCAAGAGGTCCTTCTATGTCAGATCAATTTTCTATAAGCACTTAAAGACCATGAAATACTCCTCATTATAAATTGAGTGTAATATGTTTTCTTTTGTACTCGATTAATTACGTAAGCATCTATTCTCACCTCTTCCCTGTTGTCCGCTCTCTCTTCAGGCTCAGACGAGTCTCTAGAAGCTAGTGATGTGTCGGTCGCGAACGAGCCGATTCTTTTGAACGGCTCTTTGGTACGAACGAGGGGAACCGAGTCCTACTTTGTGAGAGCCGTTCTTGTTATCGTTCAATCGTTGGTCCGCACTCACTGCCTGCCAAAATCCACTCGCCTTTTAAAAAGCTTGATTTTGTTCCCCAAACGTATTCTGTGAAGATCCGCCCCTACTCTGTTTGGTAGGTTTCAGCACGAGGAGTGAGATGGGGTGGGTCTTAACGGAATACGCGAGAGAGAGAAGTCATAACAAGTGGTACAGGACAGGTAGACAACGTGTTTTTCGGATGGTAAATGAGCCAAACGCGAAAACGCAGCAGCATTTGGATTCACTTCAACCAAAACCCAGGCAGTGATAAAGCGCACCATTTGTAAAGGCAAAATATCCTTTAAAGCAGGATCAACAAATAATCTCCATCGCCACTTAAAAACACAGTATCTAATATTAAGAGTTGCATGAATTTCATTCAAGGCAAGGCAACTTTATTTACTTAACACATACAGAGGGTAAATTCAAAGTACATTCACTGACATGATGACATGGATATGGCGCCACCTTGTGTCATGTTTACAATGCCGATTATTGACATTAGGTCTGGCAATACAGTCAATCATTATCCTGGTGATTATTTTGCAGATAAACCTAGTAACCTTAAAAAAACGGCTCTTTTGAACGGCTCTTTTGAACGGCTCTTTGAAAGGAACGGAGCCATAAGATCCGGCTCCCTTCAAAGAGCCATAATTCCCATCACTACTAGAAGCCCTCTTTCTTCTGGTTAGGAGAGTTTATAAAGAAAAAGAAGATCAAATGTTGACACCAGACAAACAGACTTTTAATGATTTAACAAACAATGATTAAGATGATCAGATCTGCTCACCTGATCCACAGGAAGACAGAGAGAGAAATGACAGCCAGGAGAACAACAGGGATTGATACAAAAGCTGGTAGCCATGATCCTGAGAAACAGTGATCAACAGAGAACAGATGGTTAATACAGCTGTGTTTCTCAAATATGGATACAAGGACCCCTAGGGGCACTTTGGAGTATTACAGGGGGTGTGTAATATAACAGATAATAATAGAATAGAATTGCAGGGATGAAACCCTCTGTAATGGTCACACTTGCAGAACACACAGCACACACAGTGACATCTGTTCTCTGCTTTCAACCCATCCGAGTACTAGGAGCAGTGTAAGACTATATTTTCAGACTTCCTATTCCTTAACCTGTTAAGCCCGAGAGACCCCGGTACCGGGGCACTGCCGCAACATCTTGCAGGAAACAGTGTCTGAGGGCATGTTCATTTAATAAACTATGAATGTTTTATATCCATGTAACGGGAAGAAACTCATCTAACTGATCTTTTTTTTCAAAAGAAAACCCACAATGCTAACACTGAGCCTCTGAATTAGCAACGAGCGAAAAATGCTAACAGATTACTGCACCGAAAATCACTCACAAAAGCTTATTATTTATCTCTTCTCCACATCCATGACATCGTTTCACATCGTGAGGTGACACAGAATCGATGGGTACCCTCATTATCACTGAATTATACGAAATTCCGACGTGATAAACAAAAACAGACATCCAAACATTTGACGCTGGGTAGCTAAAAATGCTAACAAGGTTACCTTGGCTCTGTAGTCTCTCCAAAGTGGTCTTCAATGGCATTAAAACGATAAAAAACGCTGCTGAAGTTAATCCATAGGTTAATCCAATGTGTCTGTGTCCAGGGGCGGCGCCAGGGGGTAGCTTGGAGTTGCTATAGCAACTCCAACAATTGGCCTAGCTACGGCTTAGCAACCCCATTGTTTTGTTATGAAAATGTATCTATATATATTTATACACATTCTCGCGAGATCTATCAGGGGTCATTGTAAGTTAAAGCGCGAAGTGTTACTTGGCCAATGTTGTTATAATTCTCAGTAGGCCTATGTGAACACAGATCGAAAATGGAAAGATTTCTCACAAGTCAGCGTAAACGGCCGCGATCTCCAACAGAGCCGGTCCAGCCGGACAACCCTGTGTGTGTGTGTGTGTGTGTGTGTGTGTGTGTGTTTGTGTGTGTGTGTGTGTGTGTGTGTGTGTGTGTGTGTGTGTGTGTGTGTGTGTGTGTTTGTGTGTGTGTGTTTGTGTGTCTGTGTCTGTCTGTTTGCGGTGTGGTGATGAGGTTAAATGCCACAGCATGCCAGTTGAAACAGTGAACGATCACTATTGTGTACGCTTAGGGTGTAATGGTATTATACACAAATATTGTAGGAGCACAGAAACAGTGTTCAAATTCTGCTTTTACAAACTTATTTTGGTTGTGCTTACCTTGCAAAGTAATGTTATAAGTGTCAAAGGAATGTTTTAATGTAAATATTAATGATAATATTGTAGCGTGTCCAAGTTAATAGTTATTTCAGTTATCAGATGTGCACAGTTTAGTACATTTGTAAAGTTATTTAGGCAATGTTGTTGGTGGGAGTTAGGGAGAGACCGCCCCTTCCAGGTATGTGTGTGCGTTTTCCGGTGTGTGTAGGGAGTACGAGACGGTAGGAGTTGTGTTCGAGTGTGGGGAAAAGTCATAATGAGTGTTATACTATTGATTGGCTCTGTAAGGCGTGGCTGTGGCCATCAACACCATAAAATAAAGAGAACGTTTTCGACATTGAAGGCTCGTGATCTGTGATCTTGAATAGCGGTGATAAAATACCTGTTCTCAATATGAACAGGCTCGTGCTTGGCCCACTGGTATTGTTTGTTTATTTATTTTGAAAATGAACTAGCAACGCCGTGCTGTCATATAGCAACTGCTAAGCTACTGCAGCAAAAAAATCCTGGCGCCGCCCATGTCTGTGTCCCTTTGAAATGATTTCTGATAATCCATGAGCAATGAGATTGATAATCCATGTTTTTCCGTTTCTAGATATCAGAGCTAGAGTGTAGCTTCACTCTAATGCAAAATTACATGCGCAAAGCCCCCACCTTTTTGTTTCACAATGAGTGTGTGTGGGGACTCCCCCTTCGATTCTATTGGCTCTAACGGTCAGAAAGAGGTGTCAACCATCAAAATCGAGCAAGGGGGGCCAGAGATATGGAAAATCCACCCAAATGACCCCAGAAGTGTTTTTTTTGTGCTAAATCTCTCTAAAAGGGTCAAATGTCACTTGTTTTGCATCAATCTTGATACAGGGTACTTATTATATGTTGTACTTTGGATTGCTAAAGCTTTTAGTCTACTAACCCATCATCCAAGGGTAGTTTTAACTATAAGTAAAAAAGAATCTTTGGACGGACACTATAATTTACAGTTTTTTACTATGTCAAATCTGAATTTTCTTTAAAATAAAAAACGTCTATATTGATTCTGACTTTTCTACATCCAACTCACAGGTTTATCATTACTTGAGAAAAAAGATTATTAATTTAATCCTTTTAGAAGGGAAGATATGGTCATTTGTTCTGGGAATGTCATTTTCGAGCCTGAGACCTGAAAAACAGGCTCAGGGCTTAACAGGTTAAAAAAAACTAAAACTAAAAAACTATAATTTGTTGTAAAAATAATGTTAATAAAAAAAACCTTGTCCAATGTTCAAGAAGCTGAAACAAATGCAAACACATTCATGATATTGTTAGTTTTGTGATGAACGGGTGATTATACTCCATTCATTATTTCCTTCTCAATACCGATGGAATATCTCTCAGCCTGTGGGCACTTGCACTTGGCATAAGCTTCACAAAACAGACACAACTCTCACTCTTGAGTGCACAGGGAATGACTGCACCCCATACTGAATCTGGACCCTCAGGATAATTATTTCCTTAAGTAAAAGAAAGAAAACAACCCCTACCCCGAACCGGAAAGGTACATTTGAACACACACTCCTTTTTCAGCCTCCTACCCAGACAATGTGACTGAAAACAAACAAGCTGATAAGTGTGTGGTTTTAGATGAATGCATAAAACTTACCTGCCACAACAGCCAGATGAAAGGTGGAGTTACTACGTCCTAACTTGTTCTGGGCTCCACAGGAATAACTCCCACTGTGTTCAGCTCTGAAGTCAGTGATGTTGAAGATCTGTCCTGAAGCTTTTGGAGAGTCTTCATTCTTCTTGTACCAGGTGTAGTTAGCTGCTGGGTTAGCATCACTGCTACAGGTCAGAGTCACTGAACGGCCCTCCTCTATCTCAGCAGAGGGACTCCCTGACACAGAGGGAAGCTTTGGAGCATCTGGAGGAGATACAATAAATCAACAAAAGATTACAAATACATCATGTTGAATTGAGTATTGAAATGAGACGTAGTTATTTGTGTGGGTGCATCTGAAATATGGAAGTGTTTTTTGACTGGTATAGAGCTGAAGAAAACAATTATGTTGTGTATATACAGTATATCGTTTTCTGTATTACTGCTGGCTTGAATACCCTGAACATACGTGCAGATTTGGGAGCCAATTGTAGATAAAACTTCATTTTCATCCTCTACTGTAGCTGCTCTCCATCTCATTGACCTACAGCAGCAGACTGTGAACAAAGTTGGCAATGGTTGCATGATGCTTTTTAAATCATCTGGGTTTTACTCACATTTCACATCAATAGAGATGGATTCAGATCTTGTACTCCCCAGCTCGTTCTCAGCTCTGCAGTAATACTGTCCAGAGTCAGAGGACAGGATGGAGGTGAAGACGAGACGTGGTCCTTCATTGACAGAAGAAAGGTGTGCATGTTGATCCTCCTTGTACCAGGTGTAGTTAGCTGCTGGGTTAGCATCACTGCTACAGGTCAGAGTCACTGAACTGCCCTCCTCTATCTCAGCAGAGGGACTCACTGACACAGAGGGGAGCTTTGGAGCATCTGGAGGAGATGTGTTTAAAGTAATTAACATTAAAGGGTAGATATAATGGCATCTTGCAAATGTCCAGAGACACAAAGCAGGAAACGTTTTTCACAAACACAAACCAAAACATTTTTAAGCTTGGAGCATCTGGAGGAGATAATATGAACACATTTCACATTTAATTCCACAGTGGAAGATATTTTAATGAATAATAGTTTAATAAAACACAGAGTGGGTGGTTAACTTAATCAGAAATCTAAACACTTTGAGGGAAAGTATTAATCTTTATGTCATGGAAAAAGTTTCCTTCATAATTCTCCTTTATTCTTCTTTCTAGTAGCATCCCTCGTAGCAAGATTATATTTATCCTATTTTAAAATCAAACAGAAAACCTAGAGCCCTGGTTCAGTGTCTTTGGACACTGCCATGTCTGCTGGCGACCTCTGGTGGGTGAATAGATAAATGAGTGCAATGATGATATATGTTATACTGTATGTTAATGTTATTATGTTAGTGGAAGACTTTGAGTAAACTCACACACTGAAGGAGAGGGGAAGTCCTCATATCCCTTCAAAGCACAGGAATAACTGTCTGCTGAGTCATATCTGAAGTCTGCATAAGAAGATGTGTCTTCCTTCACTTGCTGTCTGTTCTTAAACCAGATGTAGGAAGTTTGACCAGGTGGACAACTGCTGAGACACTGAAGGAGAGTAGATGATCCTGATCTGCTCACCTGGAGATCTGAATAAAGGTACAAACATAACAAATAAAGATCAATAATGTTCATGTATCAAAATTAAAATATAAAGTTAAATTTTTTAAGAGTACAATTTCAGATACCTGTGACGGACAAAGTGACTGGATGACCCGAGTATGTAGCTTGGTTTGTTTTGATCCAGAACCTGTACTCAGCTGAGTCGCTCTCTCTCAGGTTTCTGATTCTCAGAGTGCAGATGTTGTTTCCACAGAGATCCTCTACACGACCTGAATACTCTGAGTCTGTGGTCAGATCTACAAGTTCACCACCTTTCTTTTTAGTGAACCAGAATGTATTCTCTAATGTGTTAACACCACCATTCCATGTAGATGGGTATGTGAAGCTGCATCTTATCTCCACTGTTGATCCTTTCACTGCACAGATCTTAGAAGAAGAGCAAGTCACTCCCCAACCACGCTGACCCTGAACCACTGAAACACAGAGCACATCAGAAACTAGAATCAAAGTTAATCTATAAAATGTTGAGAAATTGCCTGAACAGTACTTTCAACAAAGAATGTAAAAATAAACATTTTACAAACGTTACTGGGATAGAGCAGAAAAACACATGTGAATTCCTTCTTAGGCACTTTAAAACCAATGATACTCGTTGACTTTGTTGTTTCTTAATCAAACCAGGTAGAACAGAAGTCTACGCAAAAAGGGTATGGTCAGTCTGACACAAGATTGGAAAATGCCTTCATATAAATGAACAGTGAATGATTAGCGATCATATTAAGAATAGTGTGAGATTCTCTGAACAGTTCCCTCTCTGTTCGCTCTGTGGTCAGGTTGCTGCTGAGGTAAGTGTGAACAATAACAATAAATGCAGAACACTGAGGTGTGAGCAGCTTCTGTCTGATATACAGATAAGGAAAAGAAGAAGACTGCTTTAAACTCAGAGTGTGAATATAACTCTGAGGTCAGAGAGGAGAGAAGGAACTAGAAGGGTTTGGTGCAGAGGTATGATCCATAAGAGTTGAGTCAATATGTTATGACTTAGATTAAGAATATCTCTCTAAATCACTTAAACTTAATAAAAACAGAGCTGGAGATTCTTTAAGTCGTCTTAAGAAAAAACAAAGCAAAATGTTTTCACAGAGAGAGGATGGAACAGTTATGCATACACTATATCCTCATTTTAACGCTTGTAAAAGTGAAAAGCAAACTGGTATTGTATGCAGATGATTGGAGCAAAGGACAGTGGCAACGCACAACAAGATCTTCAGAAAATCCATCAAAAAAACTAGTAACGTCTTTGAGTTTCTACAATTCTACACACAAATACATTTTAAATGTTTCTGCTAGGTTTGCCTTTTACACAAATCCATCCCACTTATTCCCACATGTGACCTGATTTTACAAGTCCCACATTTCCCCAGAATCCCCTCTGTTCATGTGATGAATGTAAGTGTAGATGTACAGTACCTGACACAGAGAGCAGGAAGACAACTAATCCACTCGCTGCTGCAGTTAAACTCATAGCTGCTCCTCTCATCTCTGTGAGACTATAAAACATGTCAGATTAAATAATGTTCACAGGAGGTATACAGAATCATTACATCAAGAAACTGTTTCTACTTACAGTGAAGGAGGAACCATGTGTTGAAAGATGCCTCTCCTCTGTAGCAATGAGCAGAAGACGGATATCAGGCTGGTAAGAGACTAGGTTTACTTCCTCTTTAGATTATTAATATGCATGATGAGCCTATTACCAGTAACACCCACCACACAATAAAGTAATGTTTTTTAACAAAATATCAACTTTTCTTGAAAAAGAAAAATATGGTTAAAGACACGTTTGGTGCTTATATACTACTCACTGCTTATATGCTACTGACTCAGGGAGGTGGATGACCCGAGGGTAAGGCAGAGGCAGAGAAGGTCTCGACACAGAACATTACCTTTGTTGAAGGTTGTCTTGATATACAGCGTACAAACCAGAAATCACTTCTTAGTAATCTCAAAGAACCCACAAAACAAACAGAAAAAACAGAACTTAAATTCATGCATAACGAATTAAAGGACAAGACAGAGCTAGGCAGGGCAGGAAAAACACAATGGTACCCAGTGAACAGAATCAAAAATCAAAAAGGAGGGAAAACACAGAGACAGGAAGCAGACACAGACATAAGACAGGAGGTGAACACTTTTTAAAATAAAACAGGAAAACAGACAGACCGTCACAAAGGGGGAAATAAGTGTTTTAGTTTGGGTGAGCTGACCCTTTAAAGCAGACGGTGGAGGAAGCTCTCTGAGTGATGACGCCTGAATGTGTCTCACTTAAGATCCTCCACTAGAGGACAGTGAAACATCAGATACTGAATCAGGACCCTGAGACACATTCTAACATCCATCAGTGATTGTTTTGACAAATCTAAATGCATATTTTGATTTTAAAGATCAAATGAGTGAAACCTATTGCCATTTTAGTCTTTTAACATTAGAGGTAATTTACTGTATAGTAGACTTACACTTCACAACGAGGACCAACATCTTTGACATATTGGAAAGCAACTCTTTACGTGTTTTACTGGAATAACGACTCATAATCAGGGCGTTGCTCAAGCTTTTCCAAATTGACTTTTCTCCAGCACGGACCACTCCTCAACAATATGTCAGTTCAACTTTTATTACAGGTATTGTTGTTCATTGAGCACTGAGGAAACGTAAGAGGAAGGGGTAAGGCTGGTCTGGAGGATCTACTGTAATCCAGGCAGGATATAGGAGTGGTGGGTTTAATAGTGAACTTTCCTTATAGAAGTGCTCTGTATTTGGCTCTGTATTCTATACTATATTCTCACCTTATTTTTGGCTACCAATGAGACACATATGACTCCAACTTGACTACACCTGTGGTCAAGTTAAAGGGGTACTGACCATGTTTAGTAGATGACATTTGTAAACCTAGCCCAGCAGGCACGTGCACATATAAGGCGCGTTCACACCGGAGTACTTTGGAGTACTTTTCCCACAATAGCTCATCAGAACTACTATATATTTGCGTTCACACCAAAAAGCCCCAGGAACTAAAGTAGTTCAAATTAGTTCATCTGACCCGCTTCTCAGTCCCTGCTAGAGAGCAGGGACTGTCGTGGGAGAAAATAGTTCATACGTCTGATTGGTTGTGCGGAATGCAAACCACGCCCGTTTGACTCTGAATTTCTTTTTGTAAGCGGCCATTGTATTTGCTCGCTTCGGCCAGCGCACCCGAAGAGATTACTTTTGTGAAAGCAGTTATTATAGCAACACTAAATAAATCATCGGAGCGGTGGAGTGATGAGGATGTGTCGGCGCTTCTGTCGATTTACTCGGAGGACGCGGAGCGCCGCGTTCAGAAGCTTCTACTGAATGCAGTTTCCGTGGCTCAGCCAAGTTAGCAGACCTGGCAAAGTCATGTTGGGACGACTACGAAGGTAAAATAAAATACATGCACTGCACTGTTTTAATCTGCACAATACTGGTCTTAGATGTACTTTTATTTGCTCAGTAGATCGAGCTAGCCATGCTAGAACTTGCTATCATAGGTCCAAGCTGGCTAACAACATCTAGCTAGCTAGCTATTCTCAGCCGTGCCCGCTATGAACACGTTTTGACTTGTGAATAAGTGTGCAATGTTCTGTAATTTGCTTCACTAACTCATGGCACTAATCGTGTGTTTCAGGCGAGGTGTTTCTCTCAGGATTAGAAACTAGTTTTCCCCTCCGGGATAAAACGATAATATAACGTTAGCAATTAGCATGCTAGCTGGACATAATGCTACCTCTAACAATACATTGTAGTTGCTATAATTTCAAGTCATTTGCAACATTCATTCTACATGTTAATGGTAAAAGCTTAAACAGTTGATTACCTGCATGCCACAAAGACTGATGTTCTAATATTTTGCACATTTAAGTAGAAATGTAATTGAAATTCTATTTATTTTTCCTTTTTTTTATTGATTGTTATAATTATACTGAGCCATGTTATGTTAGATGTCAATCCACTTACACTGTAACTACTCTGGCCTTGAAAGAAGGTTACACATCTAACTGATGTCCACTAATCCCTATAAAACAAAGTTCAAGCATACATTAAGCACAAAACAATAAATAAGGGCACTTTGATATTTATTTTTTATTTGATATTATTTGATCCTATCTTATCTTCTACTTTACACCTGCATTTTGTACACTGTCCTTGCCTGCACCATGTGCAATGTTGTCTCGTTGTTGCGATTAAACTGATCTTGTATCTTGCTTATTTCACCTTAGGAAAGCAGGCATGGGATGACAGCTTCCTTGACACCATCATGCGATGGACTGCCGTGCCATGGTCAGCAAGGAGAATGAGGACCTGCGTGCCAAGGAGATGCACGACGAACGTCTGCTGCATTCACACAAGGCCCAGGAATCGGACGACCAGCTGCTCATGGTGCCAGGTGGAGCAACAAAATACCTTTCAGGCTGGGCTTCTGGCAGTGAGCTGATTAAATCCAACAGGCCTTCAATACAAAAATTAAGAAAAACTTGTCGTCGTTGATAAACTGTACAATGACTTGTTAGGAGGCGTGTGGTGCAGTTGTCTGGTGCGTTGGTGTTCGGATCAGGGGAGCACAGGTTCAAACCCCACTGCAGTCAGGATGTCGTTGTGTCCCTGGGCAAGACACTTCACCCCAAATTGCCTACACCTGGGACAGTTAATTTTGTATTATTGTGATTATATATATATGCCACTGTTATTAATACTGACACCTAACTTTGCACTAAGGTGTGTCTGCTGCTGAGCCTACCTATTGTTATTATATATATATATATATATATATATATATATATATATATATATTGCCACTGTTATTATATTGTTTTGATACTACTGACACTTATTGATCTGCTGCTGATAAATAAAAGAGAACCTACATGCACAGCACTAGCATCATGACTGTCTTTGTTTAAACCAGCAGCAGTGCAGCGGTACACAGACTAACCTGTGTGTGTGTAACGTAGTTCTTCAGGTGTGTATGCTTAACATGTATGTATTTATCACAGTAAAGATGGTATACAAAAGCTTTTTAAAGAGCTTTCAACCTCATCCCATTGTCTTTAACACACATTTAACATAATAATATACTCATATTAATATACAAATATACAGTATGAGTACTGTTTTGATACTGACATTTAATCTTTGCACTAAGGTGTGTCTGCACTATTGTAATTGTGTCTGTTGACTGTGGTAAATAAAAAAGAGAACCAAATGCACTGTACAAAAGATCAGCTTTATTGTCAATTTACAATTTCCATGCTGTTCAGATGCCTCATAAGGGCTGTGCGCATGTCTTGCCCCGCGAATACAGAGGAGTTGAAAAGAGCCCTTGGACATTCGTAAATCTTTGATCCACTGCACATTGGTGTACGTTGGCACCACCTTAGTAGTAATACCAATCCCGCTTCAATCTCATTAGTATGCATACTTTCTCAGAGAAAGTTTCTCTGGAGGAAGAAAAAGGGCAGGGGCTCAAGCCCACTTTGATGTCTATAGGCGCGTTCACACCAAGTACTTTTCCCACAATAGTTCATGAGAACTTTAGTTCATGAGAGCTCTTTTAGTTCTGATGAACTAAAGCAGATCGCGTTCACACCAAAATGAGTTCCTGGGGGTGGATTAGGCAAATGAGCCGCTGACGTCACTTCTTCTTCTTCTGCTTTCGGTTTACTGGCAGGCCACAAACAACTTCACGGCGAGTACAGTAGGTGGTGGTATGCACCTTAAAGTTGCAATTCGCCAAAAAACCGAGAGAAGAAGAAGAAAAAAAACTTCCGCTTCCGCTGTATGCTTCTGTTTACCTTCCGACCTCAGACACGGTATGGAGTTGACGTTTTGGTGCTCGTGTTATACAGCTTCGTAACTGAGTTATTTAAGCCAATAACTCAGCCACAAATCCAAATACAGATCGACCATTCAAATGCAATAGAAATGCTGAGTCGGAGGCAAAGGCGAAGGCGGTTAAGAAGCCTTAACAAAAGGATTGGACGACGAAAAGCACACGCTATGGACATGTTTCGCCGTAGGACAGCTGAGGAGGATGACCGTTATCACGCCCAAAGAACAGCAATGGTACGTTCATTAAATCACATTAATACTATCTAATGTAGGATTTATGGAGTTATGTAGGGCTAATTTGTGTCTTTGTATGTGTTCCAGATATGCGAATACTGCGGAACGCGTCGTGTCCCGCGCTCTCTCTGGGTGAACAATAGAACATCGGCCTGGTGGGAGAAGGTGAGTAGTAATACCAATCCCGCTTCAATCTCATTAGTATGCATAAAAAAGTGACAGGTCACACCTTCTAAGTCCCGCCCCCTAATTATGCTAATGAGCCCCCTTTGATATGCTAATGAGCCCCTTTGTTCGAGGTGTTATCGCGTACAGGTGTTACATCCTCCCGGTAGCCCCCCACCCCTCTCAGCCCCCCCCCCTCCCCCTCACATACAGGTGTTACATCCTCCCCGTAGCCCCCACCCCTCTCAGCCCCCACCCCTCTCAGCCCCCACCCCTCTCAACCCACCCCCCTCCTCCTCCCCTCTCCTGTCCGGTCAACATGTCCGTTACAGTTTAAATCTTCCGGTCAAAGGTCTTCTATGTTATTTATTGAGCTTTTTGA